CCCTGACTCCGTGTAAGAGACATAAATCTTGTATATTTATAAACAGTAGTTCACTCGTGTGTGTGTGTGTGTGTTGCTCCCTCACCTCTCCCCGTGATCTCACCAATACAGCAACACAAGCTGACAACTTGTATCCTGTAGTCTGTCCACATATTATATCTTACCCTCTACATTATATTACACTGGCTGCAATGAGGACCACACGGCAGGGCACAGGGTTGTTGGCACCACACTAACATAGTCCTTGTTTGGTGTTCACAATTATGTAACTTATATAAAAAGAAAAGGCAAGTACCATCCAATCTTTAAAATCCAACATATCCTTTTTCGTTCAGTCTCACCGGTCTCTCTCCTTCCCTCTCTTTTTGTCTACAACTGTGTACACCGGACGCCAAACACTCTCCTAGTCACCGCCCCTCTCCCTCCCCTGTCGGCAGCCTCCCAGCACCACACACGTGTCTTTCCTCTCTATACGGTAATAAAAACAAAGTCACACCTCGTCTACCATATCAACAGATTAGCTATTGTATTACAGTATGATTTAAAGAACTTAAGTCAGATTGTATTTTGCCCGTTTTGTTATTTTTCTGGGAGGGATTTTATCAAGGGGAAAATCATCAGGTGAGATTTTGGACAGCAGAAAAATGTCAATACGAGTTAATTTGTCTATTTCCTAGCTTTAGTGGTGAGATCTTGCCGAGTGGGATATTGTCTGATGGCATACTAAAGGCGTGATTCTCATGACATTTAATTGTTAACTTGTGTATTTATTACTCAAGAATACTGTACGCGCTTAAAGACTCAACCACAGATAAATTATAGCACCAACACGTCTGATGGAAATTCCTCCGTTCGTCCCAGGAAACACTTGCAAACTTACACGTCCTATTAAGACTGTGATAGCAGCCTCCTCCGTAACAGAAGCTCCTTAAAGGTGTTCACAAACTTCTACACAAATGGTAAAGAACTGGAGTGCTCCTCGATCTCTGTAAAGTCTTGAAAACTTTTAGAGTCGGATGTTTAACCCACTATATTAAGACTTTCCAAGGCGCCAGAAACATTCCAGAAGTTTACTGTTTTCCGCGGATCACTTTGTAACATTGTTGATAACAAATAGTTCAACTAAATCGAGATTTTAGTTTAAAAAATGACAAGAACGTTATAAAAGTATCAAACAAGTCGTCAATTGCTTTGCTTAGAAGGAAAGGTTCTTCTAACACGATAGCTACGGTATCACAAATAAACAAGGCACAGTACCAGATGGACTGAATCAGGTAAAGGAGCACATAACGAGGCCGAGTGTTGCAGTACTAAATTTTAGCTGAACGTCCGAGAGTTGGGCCTCGGGGTTGATAGTTTTGCTTAGTAACAGGCAGTAGGGGGAAGCTGTAAGTGTAACAACAATAATAATAATAATATTATTAAATTGGATCAATGTCGGTGTGTTTGCATGCAGCAGGTGAGTGGGAGATTTAAAAACTTACCGACTTTCTTCCTTCGTCAGTGTGACATATTTTTGACGAAGGAAGAAAGTCGGTAAGTTTTTAAATCCCCCAATTATTTATGATGAATTGTCTGTCATGGGTCCGGTGTTGGTACAGGAGGAAACCTGCAAAGTTCTGTATAGAGTCACACATAACATCCTCCTCACATCCTACCAGGAACCGAACCCGAGAAGCGGTAGAGAGAGACAGACGTTGGCGGCTGTTGAATAAATAAAACCCCGTAAACACGTAGTACCCCATGCTGATGGTGGAGGACCTTATCCTGCAACTTGTAGGTCGACCAGTAAGGACGCATCGCCATCATTTATTTTATAATACTGTCGTTATAAGAACATGTCACTGTACCGGGCCTGTAGCTTCGTCCTAGAGCTGTAGACCTGTTCCTAAGTAGTGGAGAGTCTAACAAGGATAAAACTGTTTTTAACTTAAAAAAAAACAGGTAGACGGAAGAAAGGAAAAACAGTGTCTCAAGTAAGTTACCATTTGCAGGAATTAACGTCAAAAGACATTTGATTAGATAGAATTCTGTTCACTTTAATAATTTAAAAACAGGTTTTCATTTAGTGGGAAGTATTTAATGAGATTTCGCCAAATGGAGAATTGTCTGCACTGTAGACACTCGATGCAGTGTAATCAGCAAAAAATTATTCTTAACCCCCTGGGCTGATGGCCTCTGCAACGATCACTGTCTGAAGCCATGTTAATTTGGTAAGGTTGGTATTTCTGGTTGTGTGATGCATTGCATAACCAGTATGATGTATTTTTTGTATTAATTATAGTTAATACAGAGAAATTAACAGGAATCACCCACGTAAATGAGCGTTTTCAGAGTTCTTGGTCAGGTGTATCATATTGTATAACACCGTAAGGGTGCAGAAATTTTTTTTGTTGACTGTACCTTATCAAACATCACAGGTTTCCTCCATGTATTCCGGTTTCATCTTGTACCAACACAGGACAATAAAGTTTATAACTAAGTACAGACCAATTACCCGTGTGAGTTGGGTGGGTGGGGGATGTAGTGACAGAGAGTGTGTGTAGGGGGGGGAGTAGTGATGGGCGTTTGTGTGTACATGTGCGCGTGTGCATATATACTGTACATGTAGGCAGGGGGTAGTCAAGAGTGCGTGTGTGTACATGTGGGTGGGTGGGTTGTGATGAGCGTGTGTGTGTATGTGTGTGCGCATATGTAGGTGGGAGGGTATTGATGAACGTGTGTGTACATATGGGCGGGTGGGTATAGTGATTCAAAGAAAAAATATGCGTGTGAATGAGTGGGTCGAAATTAGAGGGAGAGAGAGAGGGGAGGGAGGGGGAGGAGGAGGAAGTCCTTATCACAGGAAGCACGCACTTGGTCAGAACTCGCTGCACACAGATGAGACAAGTTGTGTCAAGTCTCCCACAACAACAATAACTGTCTCTCTATCTGAACAAATCCCAGGAAGTCTTGCCTTTGTTGAATACGTTACGAGGCGGTATAAAAGATGTGAACTAACAACAGAGAAAGCAAAAGTTTGGAATTACAGGAAGTGCATGAAAAAAAAGAAAAAGGTGATTTAATGAATAACTTTAAAAGATGTAGGGAGGGAGGAGTGTGAGGTGCACAGGGGGTGAGAGACGATAATATAGCCTGTGAAGGGTGTGGTGCGCTCTGCCACAATGTACACAACACCATGTGGGTCCTGAAGTGTCTTGTGTGTTAGTCCTGCTAAACTTAGCTGCTATTAAAGTAGACCACATCATCCACAGCTGTACTCGCTAACTTTTACAACTTCAACACAAGTCACGATACGTTGGGAATGTACAATCGGCATCGGAAGTCTGGAGTCTTTAAGTGAGATACTTTTTTGTTTTTTTAACCAAGAGTTACAGTACTATATAATATACCCTTCAGTCCACAGTTTACTCTTATATTAACAAAATCTCCTCGAATCCCACTGAAACAACTACAAGTGAGATGACCTTCGAAATATTAAAACTATACGAACGCATCACATAACTGGTCGATGAGTAGACTGAGGAATGAGTGCTGTGCATAATTCGTCATGAAGGAATCATATATCTTGCTGTAATGAAGGTAGAATATTTAATTATTTTTTTCTTGATGATATATCTTATACATTCCTACGCAAGGAACCAAGTTACAACTGGGTAAAGGGATACGGCGTACTGAAATTGTACCGTGCTGAAAATGTTCTGGATACACGCATTTCGATCACAGCCTAACCTAACCTTATATTACGAGGGGCAATCCTAACACGCCTCAAGCCTTCGATAATGTCTTGATCGAACTACTCATGCCCAGAACATTTTCAGTAAGGTACAATTTCAAAACTTATGACCTTTAGAACAGAAGGTGAGATCTGTATCCACTCGGCCGCCGCAATCCACATGCTTGGTATAACACGGGAGAAGTTAGTGCATTATAATGACACAAATTATGTCTCTGAAATTATATTACAGCCTTAAGATAATGTCTTGATCGAACTACTCATGCCCAGAACATTTTCAGTAAGGTACAATTTCAAAACTTATGACCTTTAAAACAGATGGTGAGATCGTATCCACTCGGCCGCCGCAATCCACATGCTTGGTATAACACGGGAGAAGTTAGTGCATTATAATGACACAAATTATATCTCTGAAATTATATTACAGCATTATAAGTAAAAACATAACAACTACAATGAATAACACCTGAGGAAAAAGTATACGTTAAACATTAAATAGATATACAAGAATTTTAAATGCAGGAAATGACGCTACTTATCTACTTATCAATATAAACTCGTTCTAAAGCATATTATGAGAAATGGTGTCTACTTGGGCCATGAACGTCGGTGAGCGGGAAGAGCAAAAGATTACGTGCATGAAAAAAAAAAGTCAGGCAAAAGAAAAAAAAGACTCACTGGCTAGCGACAACCTAATATTAGTTAATTATAAAGTAGTTAAAATAATTTTGATAGTTTCTAAGGATCTTCTCTAATCAAGACATCAATGGCATGCAAAATCCCCTACCATCACCTACGTTAGCCTAGCCTTGTGTAACCTCACCAAAACTCACCTAGATGAAAGCTCACCTTACCTAACCTTACCTAGATTCAGACCTAACTTAGGGTAACTTCACCTAGAGTAACCTCACCTAGGATAACCTCACCTAGGATAACCTCACCTAGGATAACCTCACCTAGAATAAACTCACCTTGATTAAATCTCACCTAAACTGACCGTGACTACTCAGGTGACTTGGTGGTCATCACATATTGTGTGTGTGTGTGTGTGGGGGGGGTTAGGATGGCACTGTCCTGCCCGCGGCGCACACTTTTGTACGCTGCCATATGAAACAGGACCCTACCAAGAGAATACATAAGACCGACGTTCCTGTCAATAGCTCATGTACTGCCAGCTTCTCTTTTCTACAGTTCAGAGGATAAAGTGTGGAGAAAATCAATAAGACAGCGATAAAAGTGGAATTTAATACGAAAGTCGTCTTACCGTTGTTCCTGTGCTTCTTCGCCGCCTCACAATTCCGCCTGTCTCCAAATTCACGGATTTTCAGTTCAATGAACGTGTCACTAAAAATGGGAAACAAATTTACTCTTTAAATATACACTGCTTTCCTTTCTTGTGTTTTCTCATCAGTTGAAATATCTATTCTCGAGTCATTATCATTAATGTGGGTATATTTCGTACATGGTGATCATTGTAAATCCAGATCTGAAAGGTGTGGGCCAGGCAGTGAGGGGAGCGAGGAGATCGCAGGTGACAAGGAACACCGGGTCCCGGATCAGCGAGGGAGCGACTTGGTGGGTGAGGGAGCGCGGCGGTACACTGCACCGAACGGAGGCTGGAGCGACACTGAGCCCTTGCCAGTGGCCCAGTGCCACCAGCCCAGGAGTACCATGGGTCGAGGATACACGGTCACCCCCCCCCCCTCCACCCCACTTGCCTCTCCCTCCGACTTGCTTATTCCTCATTCAACTTTGTATCACTCTCTAGCCTCCACATTTCTTTTTTTTTTCTTTTGGAAATTATAAATTACTAATTTACTAACGCTGTCATTCAACAGTAACTATCTATCTGTTAATTTACGTATTCATCCATCTAAAAACGTAGATCAATGGATGTTGTAGTGTGTAGAATAAAAGCTTTAGCAAATCTAGTGATTTATACAAAAGTCTTACTTAATAATGAGTAGAGTGAGGTGACAGCCTGGCTGTGGACAGGGTATTCCTGCTGATTTTTAATACTTTTTAATACTACTTTAGGCAGTTGCTATCATAAGTGTTGGAGGCCTTTGAAATGTGGTATTATAGGCGAATGCTAAGAATAAGCTACACTTGAGAGGATACAATTATGAAGTAATAAGATTTGCAAAAACTTAAAAAAAAATAATTGAAATGTACTGGAGGGTCAGGGGAAGGCAGAGACTGGGATGGATGAATTAAAATAAAAACTGGGTTCACAGAGGGATACAAAACCTTGGAGATTGGAAAAATCAGCCAGGGAATGTTTAGGGTCAAGGACTGTGGTCGCCAACCCTCAGATATGAGGATGGTACTCAGATTGATTGACCCTAAGTGTTGCCAGTAAACCACCTATTTTGGACTACTTGTGTAATGAAGACAATTCTGCAAATTAGTTCCAGGAATTGCAAATCTCCTACTTTTATTTTACATTCAAATTACATGCACCGCTATACACGTGATCTACACCAGTGTTCACATACAAATGCTTCCAGCGACCGTTCCATACACACGAATTCTTGGAGCGAAAGCATTGTAATTTATACGACATTCACTGAACGAATCTAGCCTACTTAACAGATCTATCGTAAACTAAATATATTTAATCTTCACTAGATAAGCTTGGGTTGGTTAATTTGGTTCATCGTAAGTCTCATAAATAACAAAATATAGCAAGTACCGCGAACGCTCATGAGAGTTTGCAGGAAGAGTTCGGTCACTGATAAATTTTTTTTCTCTTTTTTTATGCAAAATGAAGTAGCGAGGGACGGACATTATGGATTTTTCCTTTATTCATAGCAAGCAAAACGGTAAAAAAAAATCAGGAGAGTAATAATCTGATATTACTAAAAAAAAATTTTTTATGTTTTTGATGGTGATTTAAAAGAATATTACATTTATTTCCGGTGCTTACATATATTTATGCAGATAAGACAATGGTTTGCGCAAGTGGGCAGTGATTGCCGTCACGGCAACACTAAATTAAAATATAACTGACCCCCCCCCTCCCAGGCCCCAAAAAGTGCTAGATTTAACACGAATATGCAAAGACACGAAGATAATCACTTAACTTTCCTTCATCGCTTGTATGGTTTTTTTTTAATTCGGACTTATTTTACGTTCGGAATGGTTTGAGTTTTGCGTTTCATCCCTAAATTTTTCCTCGTTTAAAGCCCCACCTACTGGTACAAACCATAAATATTCATCGTTGCCGAAAATAAAGGTCATATTCTTCAAACCCCTTCGCTCAGGGGGCTGATGCCTGATATGATCACCAAAGACGCATGTCAGAGGGGGGCGAGTGAGGTAGGGGTATGCATGAGGGTGTGTGTGTGTGTGAGGGAGGGAGGGAGGTGGGGTTTGAGGGAGGGTGAAGGTGTGAGTGTGTGTGTGTGTGAATGAATGCTCCTGTAGTGGACGTCTCCCCTACAACTGCCTACAACTGCGTAGCCACAGCCACCACCTGCTACCGCCTTCCCTAGCAACCAACCAGATGTTACCGTATCCTAGCAACGAAACTAGGAACCGGCGACTTCTCGGGTTTTTCCAACATGACTCATAGCGGCTGCTGGGTATATAAGCTCTGTCTCTCCATTGAGATTCATTCTGACCATTCTTCTTGAACAAGCAACACCTCCTCCTCCGCTGCTGCCTGGCAGCCCTCGCTCCCGCCAGCGAGCATGGCGACCCACCAGCTGTCCTTCTCTGAGCTTCCTCACCAACCAACTCATTCGGCCCATCTTCCTGAACACGCAACATATCCTCCCAGCAAGCTCCTAGCTGTCCAGCATTCATTCAACCAGGAGGCCAGCAACAGGCAACATCTTCTCTAACGAAGCTCCTGCACATCTACCTCCTACAACACGCTACTCACCGAACGCTTCTACTGAGCAGCCCCTCACCACACGGCACCTCCAGCACCAGACTGTCTATCATATAACTTATATATTATACAAGAAAACCACATTAGAGTTTCCTTCCATCCTGAGTGCTAGACAACATTAATATCTCGATACCCCTACACTCCCATCACTCAGATGGCAGCCCACCATCCAACATGTGGTGGTCAATCTCTTAGCAAACAAGTAAACAGAACAGACTAGCCACTCAGATAAAGAGGTAATAAAATCGATAAATTCAGTAAGCTCATAGCTCACCCCAACACGAGGAGAAAAATCTGACCAGAATAAAGATTTGTTTTATGCCCAACTTGATTTTTCATTACTAAACTAGTTTTTTTGTTTTTTATTTTGATTTGAATGAATATGACATTTATTTTGGGGGCTAATGCTTATTTAATTATACGACCATGATTTACACAAAGTGGGCAGGGCTCTGAAGATGAGGGAAATTGTGGGGTTAAAATACACAAAAATAACACCAAACAAAACTTTTAAAATAAATTTGTCTTCCTAAACTATAAAAATCATAAAAAAAATATTTAACTGATGGCAGAAAAAGTTATTCTCTTGTTTTTGTGTATTTTTGGTGTTTAGGTCACAAGGGAGCCATAATGCAAAAGAATACTGATGGATGAAAATTTTGCACATGGTTAAAAGTCCCTAGAGATTTGAACTATCCTCTGATTGGTCAAAGCAGCTCATGTGTTTAGAGAACTTAAAATCCGTCAATACTGTTGTATCAGATATAGAGCAAGTCCTCACTGAACATTGTTTCAGTACTACGTCGCTGAACTTTCGAGACCAAAAATTCGTTTAACGTCCCGGTGATCTGATACTACTACGGACTACTGTACAGTACTTTCTACGGAGCATCACCCGCTCTCTGGCCACGCAACGCTCTCTCGGCTCGGCGCGCTGCCAAGCCAGTCTCTGTTACGACTTCACATCATTCGTGTGTGCTTCAGTGCTTTTGCTCTAAATCTGTACTCTAACCATTCAAAATGGCTTCCAAGCACCCATCAAGTGCTACTGATGCTAGTGTAGTGAAGAGGCAACGTAAGACTATTACCCTTGCTCCGAAAATAGATGTACAGTATTAACCAGATTTGAAAAAGGTAAACGTGCTGTGGACATAGCCGCTGTGCTTGGTCGAACCCCCACAACGGTGCGCACTATCCGGACCAACGCTGACAAGATTAAGGTTAGTGCTGGAAGTGGTTCTTCTCCGAGTGCTACTAAGACAACTCGTACTAGAAGCACTGTGATAGAGAAGGTGGAGAAGATGCTGGCAATGTGGATGGAGGACCAGAATCAACGCAATGCTCCTGTGAGCTTTATGGTTATCCAGCGTAAGGCCAGATCCTTGTTTGACGACATAAAGGAAACAGAGGGTGAAGGATCGAAGGAAAAGACGAGGCTGGTTTCAACGATTTAAGCGTCGGTATAACTTCCATAACAAAAAGATGACTGGTGAAGCTACCAGTTCAGATACGCTTGCTGCCGAAACATTCCCACCAACAACGGAGGAGGAGCAAGCAGCGGCGGAGGAACCCCAGTCAGAGCAGGAGGAAGAGGAGGCAGCCACAGAGTCTCGGTGACTCCCCACCTTCCTCCTCTCCCGACCTCCTCTGCTCCCACCCTCCTCCTCCACTCCCGCCATCCTCCCCCTTTGCTCCACTATCCACCACACACTTGTTCTACCACTTCCACCCATCGGTGAGTACCAATACAATCTCAGTACTGTACTTCTATATACTATTCTTTTTAGAAATGGTAATGATTTTCTGTATATGTAACTTTTTTCATGGAACAGACGTTACGCGAGGACGCCCTGTATATTGTAATGTGTACCCAGCAGTTTTTTATTTTTCTAATTAGATGATCTGTAAAGTTTTGTTTTTACACAATGATAAAGTTTGATTTAATATTCACATATAAAACATTTGTGAAGTCTTCCTAAATATCTGATATGAACTCATCACACAGTTTTCTTGCGAAGTTTTGTAAATAAAAGTGCACCCATTAATTAAAATTTATTGTTTTAATATTTGATAATAAGAGCATATACAGGTTTTGATACTGCATATGCCATTGAAACCAAATGATACATATACTGTACAGTATCTAATATGAATTTATTGCGGTATTATTGAAGTTTCGTACAACCATGGAATCTCAGCAATTTTTTTTTACCAACCAATATATTGAATGATTATGCAACTTTTTTCTAGTATACAATTCCTTCACAAATTACTTATACATGTCCGTGGGTCCAGGGGGGTGAACCCCCCCAGTTAGTAGGTTATGTTAGCTAAGTTTTTGGTAAGGGAAACATTATAGAAGAAAAGTGTCTTAAATTTGTCTGAACTATTGATTGCATAGACAAAATTATCTAGAGCTGTTGGTTGTACAAAACTACAAATTTACATTTTTTACACATACCTGTACAGTACAGTACTATAATGTTCCAATCAGACACACATACACTTGAAGTTTTGAATCACATTGGTATCAAAGTTTTGGAATACATATAGTACCGATAATCCCCACTCGGAGCAAAATAAGCAGAAACAGCAACTGAAAATTACTTATCTCTTTCTATACAATGTTTGGCACATATATAATGTACCTGGTTGTTTCACAAAATGGCTACAATTTTTATCAGCCGGTTAAAAAAAATTTAAAAGGTGTAAATCTTG